TGCAGGGCTCCAGCGCGGATGAATCTAATGTTCTGAAGAGTGTGTGTGACAGTCAGTCACAGCACCGGTGTGGATATTTACTGTACTTCGCAATCACAGATTCTAGCCTACGTCTTGGAATATGACCCAAATAATAATTTTCACCGTATATTGAAATATAGTATATTGCCATCTGAACAAGTAAGTAACTAGTCTGCCACGTTTGTTGTTCTGACCAACTGAGGAAAAAATCATTACCATAAATCTAGCTACCAATGGTGATAAAATCTAAAGATCGGTTAGCTCATATCACATCAAACCGTTCAAATTATTATTATTGTTATACTTTATTCTCAAATGATTAATGTTAACAACAACAGCATTGGTGACTATGAGTAGGCCTATAGTGTGTACTGGCGTGTAGATTTCAATTTCTGCACAGTCTAATTGGCATACTCTTCGAATTTCATATTAAGAAATTCCTTGAACCCAAAAAGCTAATTATACTCCCATAGAACTGTTTTTCTTTAAAATACAAATCATTGTAATCCCAGGCTATCTGTAATCAGAAGCACATTTATAACTGGAATAAAAATTAATTTCATTCACATGTGTTTCATAAACACATAATCCTTTATGGATTACAATCCGCCATCAAAATTATACATTTAATTATTCTGGCTGTTGTGAGAAAAGGCTATAAACGATCGGCCACCTGCAGCATCCTCACATGCAATAGCCTACTAGCCGGGACAACTTCTTTATGTTTACAGACGTGACGTAATGACGCAGTGCCATGCTCAAGTTTCCCGGGAAAACCTACCCGTACCACTCAAATTAGAAAACATTATTATAAGCTAACCGTTGTGAATCAGGCTAAAGTAAGGCGATAGTTTTGAACACTGGCTGGTTATGTACTAGCTCAAATATTGATTTCGGATAATTTTTTACCAAAAAAAAGTTACGGACTGCAGCTTTAAAGGCACAATATGTAAGATTTTTTTATTAAAATATCCAAAAACCACTAGAACAGTGTTATATATTTTGCTGACTTGTGTACTTACATTATACCAAATGTTTCGAAGAATGTTTAAATCCAGAGAAATAAGCCATTTTAACTAGTGACACGGACCGTGTCTATAGTGTCATTGTGTCGCCTGCCAATGACGTCATACACCCTCGATTTTTGTTTTGTAGAAAACATGGAAACACCCAAGACGCTTTAATATGTTGTGCATTTTATTAGACGGGTGACGACCACACAGAGAAGCATTATAACAGAACTTTCAAATGTATCTAGTTATGATAAAACAGCGCTGCTTTTCCCCCACATATGCACGACCGGAAGGAGGGGAAGCGGTCGACTGTGGCATAATAAAAGCTCCGCTGCTTTCTAGCCATGTGTCACGCTCGTTCAGCGGCCTCGTTTCGCTTCGACGGCTTTCAGCCTCACCCTGCTTCATTCTACTACATTAATAAATCATTAGCTCATCCATGAACATGATTTTAGCCAGAGTCCCATCGAATTGCATCGGCTGTGGGGATGAAGACGACAACTCCCATGATTCGGCGTCATCAAACTACGCCTTTGCCTCTTTGTTTATTTTGAATACGCGCCCTCTAGTGGCGAAAATTACATATTGTGCCTTTTAAGTATATTGTCTCATTTTCTTAATTTAAAGCATCTAGCTTTTTCAAAATACATACCAGAGGTAAGCATGCTTAGATATTGCACTATTGCAACATCAAAGGGTCACTTCACATTCTCCTAAATAGCAGGGGAAGTGCAGAATGACACAGGACCATCTCAAAATGCAAACATAAGCAAATAAAGTGCTCTGAAAAGTGTGTATGTGTGTGTTTGCAGATACCAGGGTCCACTCCTAGAGGACGGAGCTCTTGAGACGGCTGTGACTGGTGGTGCTGCATCTCCAGAGTTCACTAAACTGTGTGCCTGGCTTGTGTCTGAGCTCAAGCTCTACTGCAAACTAGAGGAGAATGTGCAGGCGACCAACTGTGAGTGTGATCCCGCACATACAGTGGGGCAAAAAAGTATTTAGTCAGCCACCAATTGTGCAAGTTCTCCCACTTAAAAAGATGAGAGAGGCCTGTAATTTTCATCAAAGGTATACCTCAACTATGAGAGACAAAATGAGGGAAAACAAATCCAGAAAATCACATTGTAGGATTTTTAAAGAATTAATTGGTAAATTCCTCGGTAAAATAAGTATTTGGTCACCTACAAACAAGCAAGATTTCTGGCTCTCACAGACCTGTAACAACTTCTTTAAGAGGCTCCTCTGTCCTCCACTCGTTACCTGTATTAATGGCATCTGTTTGAACTTCTTCGAGACTAAGAAAGTGTCAGTCAGAATGTGAATTATTGGTTCTGGGTGTGGCTTGTTCAGGTCCGAGCGAGGCTGAGGGGTTTCATCTGGAGATCAGTGGTCTTTTAGCTGAGCTGTGCTGTCCATATCCTGCTCTCATCACTGGAGAGGTCACCAAACGTCTTCTGAATGCAAACAATTGCCTGTTACTGCTGAGTATGTAAACAAAATAATTTGCTCATTCCTGTGAATCTTTATGAAGCTTTTAAAATGGGGTTGTTGCTGAATTTTGTTACTTGAAATAAAGTTAACTAAAAATAAGTTAACTATAAATAAAAAAATATTAATTTCAACTTTTTTCAGCTAGTTGCCAAGGCAGCAGTTCTCGTTTTTCTTGTATTTGAACTTGATTTACTAAAACAAGTACAAATGAGCTAAAAATTAATATGCACTATATGCACTAGAACACAACAAAATGACTAACTAAAATGAAAATGGCACAAATAAAAATTCACAATATAAATAAAAACAACTATATTATCTCAATGGTACTAAAGTAACATAGCTTCAAGATCCTTGTACATCATAAATATTATTCATATTCATACCATTCTTCCAGGCTTCTTGATCTCCGAGCTTGAGTCGTCTAGGATGATCCTGGTGAACCAGCCCCAGAAGAAGGAGCAGGAGACAGGTGGCAGTAAAGTCTTCATGGAGCTGAAGGGCATCTGTATGGCTCTGGGCATGTCCAAACCTCCTCCTAACATCACCATGTTCCAGTTCTTCAGTGGTATTGAGAAAAAGGTGGGGTTTAATTACAGGCAATTTATATTAATGTATATTAAATGTGTGCACACACATTGGCTCACTAACGGATTTGTGCAGAAAAACTTCTGTGTGTTATTTCAGTATTATTTATATGCTGCTGTAGTATTTATTAATATTTTGAGTTAGCTTTAAAAAACATTTTTTCTTTTTTAATTGAAAAATATGAAAGCAGACGTAATAGAAGGTAACAAAACAAACAACAACAATAAAAACAAACAGATAGATAGCAAGAGAGAGAGAAAATGATAAAATAATAATAGTATTATAATAATAGTAGTAGTAGTAACATTCAGTTGTAACATATACGAATATAATATAGACACATTTGTTATGACATTGATTGCTTAGAAATATTTGCAGTGGATTTGGTTAATGCAGAGAAGAGAGAGAAAAAAGGATTTTAAAAAATGAAGCAGAAGGATCACAAACAATGATGTAAGGAATATAATCTTTCAACAAATATAAGTAGATTATTAAATATCACTGATGATGATGATGATAGACAGGAGATACATTTCCTCACTTGAATATGTATATAAAGTTAAAAAAGTATTCATTATTGTTGACACCACTGCTGTTCTATAAATTCAAAAAAAATTACTACATAAATAAATAAATAATAAATGGGGGGGGGGGAGCAAATCTAAATAATTACAAAGCAAGAGATGTTGAGATGAGAAAAAGTGAGAGTAGAGAGGTGAGAGAGAGGAAAGTTAAATTTAAAATAGATTAAATATAGAAAGAAAGGGAGGTGGAGTAAGTGGAATAATAAAGGAAGGGGAGAGGAATATTGAGATACTGATGGTTTGTCAAACTAATGATGGAGAGAGATGGCGAGACAAAACGTGAACCCGTTTCCTTACATCGTAGGTCATTGGCAGGCCCCTTCTAGATCATTAGTGCATGACCTATTTGCAGCCTCGCCTTAATTCACAGACATTACAGTATGGTGTTCACAAGTCATGCTATTGAAGTCACTGCTTCAATCAGTTGTCTTCTGACAATAATAGAAATAATAATAATAGTGGAAATAATAATAAAGAAAAAGAAAGGAAAAAATTTTAATAATGCTGCCAATATTATTATGATGATAATAGAAAACAAAATGTTTTGGAAGTGTTTCCTTATAGATATTTACCATTTTTTTCTCTTCCCCCCCTCTTTCTCTTTCCCCTTTTTTTCCCTCCATCCATCCTCTCTATTTATTTTATTCACTTTTTTCCTTTTTCTCTCCCCTCTCTGTACATAAAGCAGGTATATATTCAAATTCAATGTGGGGGCAATAATTCACAAATCAGGGTAACTTGATATCTAGGAAAGGAGCAATTGAGCCATATAGTTGTTTAAGTTCAGAAGTCTTATGTTTGAATATGGCTGTCTGTTTTTCTTTATTAATGTAATCTCTTCGTAATTATTGCCTTTGTGTACAAGAGATTTTGTTTTTGTTTTTCCAATTAATTAAAATTGTTTTCTTGGCGATTACTAGAGACAGAATATTGGGGTGACGTACTCCGGTGGGGGGGTTTATTTGTGAATCATCACCTAGTAGACATAGAGTTGTGGGGATTTCGCAGTTAAAATAGACAGATAGTTTAGTAGTAACATCTTTCCAAAACGGAATAATTGATGGACAGGACCAAAGTGCGTGCAGATCATCTGTCATCTGAAATATTGAGTGTGCAGTGAGTGCATTTTAAACAACAATTTGTATTGTGTTAAATGTATTCTATATATTTAATATATTGTATATTGATTTAGTTGAATTTTGGTATTTCCACTCATACTGAATGTGCCGATACAAATTTGTCTCCAGAAAGTATTGTCTGTGATTGTGTTTAGGTCCTTTTCTCATTGATTAACCGGAATTAAGTACATTGTATCTGTAGATATAAATAAAGTGTAGAAAAAGAGTTAGCTTTTAATTTTAATGTTTAATTTTAATTTTAGTAATTTTATGTGCTTTTGTAATTTTTATTAGTTTTCTTTTATATTATTTAGATTATTTGTAAGTTTAGTACATCGTCTTAAACTTACTTTATTTCAGTTAGTAAGAAAACACTTTTTGACTTTTGTTTGCGTTTAAGTGTTTTATCTAATATTTTATTTTATTTCAGCTTTATTTATCATTTTTAATAGTTTTAGTATTAGATGAAAATAAAACCAGTTAAAACTGATTTACAGTTTCAAATCATGATTTGTTAATAAGTGTTTTTTTATTTTTTATTTAGAGCCAGTTCTAATTATTAACTGCAGTTACACATTCTATTTAGAATAATCCAGATTAATCAACATTAGAATGATGCACCTGTTGTGAAAAATCTTTTCTGCTCATATAAGAATGCATGTACATGTTTATTGGTGAATGAGAATCATTGTTTTTTTGTATGTTCTAATCAAATGCAATTTTCCCACAGCTGAAGGAGGCTTTGTCCAAGGTCCCTCCAACTCATATAGGAGAACCTCTGCTGAAGAAACCACTGGGCCCTGTACATTGGGTTAGCTCCGATTTAGATTTTTATCCTCTAAAAGCACTAAACTAACCATTTTAAATTTGAACATTGAGTTCAATTTGGAAATGTTCATTGAAAGTGTGTCTTTTTTTGTCTTAAACATCCAGGAGAAAATTGAAGCAATAAACCAAGCACTTGTGAACGAGTATGACGTCAGAAGGAAAATGTTGCTGAAACGACTGGATGTGACGGTGCAGTCTTTTGGCTGGTCAGACAGAGCCAAGGTACAAGAATCTCTCTTTTACTTTGTATATCATAAAACACTGATTAAACTAGTAGAATGAGCAAAAATGTGACCTGAATTAAATTGAAAATCACTTTGCTTTGTAATTCTATACAGACACGTGCTGATAAACTTTCAAAAGTGTACCAGCCTCTTCGAGTGGCGCTGGCCACTAAAAGCAGGGTGTCTGTGGCCCACCTGTTTGCTGCTAGAGAAGATTTATCAAAGATCTTGAGAACCAGCAGTGGTCACATCAGGGAGAAAACAGCCTGTGCCATTAACAAGGTGGGTTAGTTTTGAATGTACTTTCGCTTTCTAAATGTATGTTTTTACCGATTCTTTTGTAGCTGCACTATTTCAGAAGTTAGGGGTTGACAAGATTTTCAAATGTATTTAAAGGAAGTCTCTAATGCTCACTAAGGCCGCATTTATTTGATCAAAATGCAGTAAAAACAACAATATAAGTGTAATTACAATAAAAAAAAAAGTTTTTTATATTTTAATATGTTAAAGGGGTCCTATTATGCTCTTTTACGAAGTCTTGATTTTGTTTTGGGGGTGTACTAGAACAGGCTCTCATACTAGGTTGTTTGAAAAACACATTATTTTTCACATATTTTTCATTATTTTAAAGTTCATGTATTTCCTCAGCGACCAGCACGGATAAGCTCTAGGCATGACGAAGCGGATATCGTCCTCTTTTGGAAGGCCAAACAAAGTAGTTTCTCTTTCACAACGAAACACACAGCACCTTCACGACATGGCGGCGGCAGCAACAATACTACAGCGAGAATAAAAGTTACGCCTTCTTTCTTTGCGTGAACATTTGGGCGGCGTTATGCAAATATTCCCACATCGTGACGTAGATATGTGGGGGCGTGTTAGAACGAGCCATTTAGGTAGGCGTGGTTAACTCTTTACTTTTATAAAGAATATCTCTTTGGATTTGAGACTTGTCTTTGCAACTTTACAGATCTTCTTTATGCACCAAGTGCTTGTAACACTCCAAAGTGAAAGGAAAAATTGAAATCGCATCATATGACCCCTTTAATTTCATTCCTAAAAATAAAAGGCTAAGCGGTAGTGTACATACCAGAGAATTTATTATTCTTGTGTTTATTAGGTCCTGATGGGTCGTGTTCCTGATCGAGGAGGGAGACCCAATGAGATCGAAGCCCCACCTCCAGAGATGCCCACATGGCAGAAACGGCAGGATGGTCCACAAGGTGGTGGCGGAGGACAGTACTACTCCGGTGGCGGAGAAGGTAGAGGTGGTGGACGAGGTGGTTACGATCAGCAGCAGGGTGGCCGTGGAGGTCATGAGAGAGGAGGTGGAGGCAGAGGTGGAAGAGGAGACCACCGTGGAGGTAAAGCGCAGGGGAACTGGCAGGACGGCTCTGGCGGAGGTGGATACCAGGGTCATTACCAGGACGGTGGATATCGAGGAGGAGGAGGCTACCAAGGAGGCCAGCAAGGACCGGGGTACCCAGGAGGAGGATATCAGGGCGGAGGTGGAGGTGGAGGTTACCAGCATGAGGGCTACTATCAGAATGGAGGACGACACCAGGAGAGAGGAGGAAGGGGTGGGCGCGGGGGTAGAGGAAGAGGAGGAGGAAGAGGAAGTGGGCAGGGAGGAGGATGGGGTGGAAGAGGAGGGCAGAATTATAACCAAGGGGGGCAATTTGAACAATTCTTTCAGCAAGGTGGGCAACAGTATAACCAGGCCGGCTTTGGCCAGGGAAGACAGTTTACTAGCTGAAAACAGACTGTTACTGCGATCTACAGCTTCAAAACGGACCCACAATTCTCTTGAGGGTGGGAGAATATGAGAGACGCAGGCCTCTGAATGAGCAGACAGGCATTACATCTCATAATTCCCATGGTGCCTCTGGAGTTTGTTTTACAGAGATCTCCTCTGAATGAACAATGCGCTTCTACACGTGGACGGTTGGTTTAGACGGATCTGCTTCCAGCAGACCATTTAAGCTGCTTTAGTTATTTGGAAGTGCGAGGTTGGGTTGGTAGAATCTCCTAGGATGAACTTTGGTGTGTTACTGGGTTTGTTTTCTTCCTTCCTCATTGATGATTGACATCGGTCCAGTCTACTGCCTGATCTCGCTGCCCCGACTCTGAATCTGACAAAGCCTTATACTAGGAAGTGATCAAACTTTTGTTATTCTAGTTTTATGGAAATGTAACTTTTTTTTTCCATCTCACTCAGTGAGATTTTGTTAACGTATGAATAAAGGTCAGCCGAGTTCTCGCCGCTCACGTGTGAATGTTCGGTTGCTGACTGTGTGGAAACCCCGAGATTGATTGACTGACTTGTTTTGAGCTTTCTACTGGTTTGGGAAAGAGTGGATACAGTTCACCTTTACAATGTTTAAAGGTTTTGGAATGATTAAATCGTAAAGAAAAGAGCTCACTGTCGTGGTGGATTTTTATTTTTGTAATCACAGAAAACTGATCAGTTTCAAATGAAGATTTTTTCTTGCATTATTATAGTGGCAATAAAATATCAGAAGTTATAATGATAGAAACAACTTTACTAAATTAAATACAAGAGTTCTACAGAAACTATGCAGATTCCTATGATGCAGTGTGATTGTGACGTGCTTAGAAATACAGTGGCCACATGGGGGTGATAGATAGCCATTTATTTTAGTTTAATACCTGCAAAATGGCCTAAACAAATTTCTAAACATTCAAAGTCACTTAATCAGTTTTAAACCAGTCATTAGGAAACATTAAACACAAACTAGAATATGTTTTTAAAGCTACAGAATGTTTTTTATAGTCGTGATTAGTCTGTTTTAGGGTAGTGTATTTATTGATGTTTTCCATGAACAGCAAGTGAATTGCAACAGTGCACTGAAGGAATCACAGAACATTTCTACATATGGCATTCAATTATTACACTCGTTCTAGTTAAAGCAGACTGTTCAAATCTAAATCCAGTTTTTTTGTCTTAAAAAATACACTATAAATACTTTTAATGTAATACATTTATAATGTCTTTTCCAGCTACAGTTACATAAATGGTCTCCAAATATTCCAGTCAAGATGGTAAAAGTCCCTTGATGTTTAATATTCAGTTTTACAGGCCAAGCTTATCTTCACTGGCAACCCTGAGATGCTGAGATGACCTGCTCTCTGCACAACTTTATTTCAGCGTTGGTAAAAACCTAACAATAATTAGATTGCTTAAATTTTTATATATATATATAGTGAAGCTCAGACATTTAGTGAGGAAAAATAAGTGCAGCAAGAACGAATAAACATGTCTGTATGCTTGATGTTCAAAATGTAGTAAATGTACACCTTTCCCTCATGTAAACCTGGCTTCAACCAGAGAAACATTCATAAGACAATACAGCAATGACAAGGTTGATAATTTTACAGCAGTTATTATTCACCATATCTTCTGATAGCCCAGAAGTGACAGAGTCATCAGTTTTTCAATACACATCTCTTGATTTCACAAAGCTTATATTACGTAAAGATGTTTGCACAAGAAATTGTGTTGATATGGCTGCTGCTCGTATGTCAAATGTGTGCTCGACACTTTAGCAGTAATTCTCACTTAAGTGAAAGACAACAGATGTATTAGAAATATCCCACAGGAGGTTCTGCTACTCGAAGGCTCTGAAAGTCATGCTTAAATTGTTACATTTAAAGGGATAGTTAAGCTAAAAATGAAAACTAAAAATAGCAACAAAAAAAGTAATAGATGATATTTTGAAGTATGTTGGTAACCAAACAGTCTTGGTAACCATTGACTTTCATTGTATGGACTTATATATATTGTTGTTGTAAGGTGATTAAACGATGACAGAATCTTAATTTTTGGGTGAACTATCCCTTTCAGTAGTATGCTTTATATGCTACATCAAATCAAAATGAATTACATTTAGCATGTGCCTTTAACGCCTCTCTTCTGATCTCTGACAATCTGAATGCTAACTAGCACTACAGATACACATGCATATTACCAGACATACACAGATGTGTGCAGAATCATACTCTGACTATGGCAACAGGTAAGTGCTTTCAGCACTAGGCTACACATGAAGGCTTCAGATGACAAACATGCTTTCTCAGCTGCTTCAGGAATCACTGGCATCTAACATTAATTCTGCATTCATTTAAATTAATTGTTTCAAACCATGACTTTCTTTTGTGAAGACTTCTTTTAAGCTGCTATCTTCCATACAATGAAAGTGAATGGGAACCAAGAAGAAGAAAAAAAACACTTGTAAAGTACATACGACTCATGCCAAGTCTTCATAAGCCTTCCATAGATTTTTTTGTGTAATAAACTGAGGGATAGTTCACACAAAAATGAAAAATCATGTCATTAATTACTCACCCTCATGTCGTTCCAAACCCGTAAGACCTATGTTCATCATCGAAACACAAATTAAAACATTTTTGATTAAATCCAAGAGCTTTCTGATCCTCCATAAACAGCAATGCAACCGACAGGTTCAAGGCCCAGAAAGGTAGTAAGGACATTGTTAAAATAGTCCATGTGACATCAGTGGTTCAACTGTAGTTTTATGAAGCTGCAAGAATACCTTTTCTCTATTTTATAGATTTATTTTATATAAGGACTATTTCAACAGTCCTTACTACCTTTCTGGGCCTTGAATGTGTCAATTGTTTTGCTGTCTATGGAGGGTCAGAAAGATCTTGGATTTCATCAAAAATATCTTAGTGTTCAGAAGATGAACATAGGTCTTACAGGTTTGGAACAACATGAAGGTAAGTAATTTATGACAGAATTTTTCATTTTAGGTTGAACAATCCCTTTATGCTGACATTCAGTGAAAATCTTGCCCGACAGACATGGTCACCATTAACTTTCATTGCATCAAAAAAGGGCAGATTTTTGATAAAAATCCTTTTGTTTTCCACAATAAATACAAGAAATAAACTAATTTTAGTTACAAAGCCGTGAGGGTGAGTAAATAATGACAGAATGTTAATTTTTTTCGGGAACTGTTTCTTTAAATCTGCAATTTTGGTGCCAGAAGAGCATCTAATCCTATAGGCTCAAAGACTCACTATAATCACTGTTTGTCTTAGTTCATCTGTTGATCCACCTGCGAGGTCTCTCTCACACACACTGTCTGCAAAAATGATCGTATGAGGCTTGTCCCATCTGAGGCTGTCGGGTTCTAACTGAGCCGAGATGTCTGGGTATCAAACTTATTTCAGAACATATGGCGCTGAAGGACAGTATGTTGCCTTGGCAACAGACTATAGCTGGACTCATCTGGCACTTAGCAACAGAGGTCATATAAACACCTGGCTGACGGCACACCCGTGTCGGCAGAATTGAAGTCTTTGAATTCATGTATATTTTCAACCTTACATAGCTATCAATGTTGCTAAGCAGTGCTGATGTAATGATGCATAAGGTCAGAGGTTACTTGTCTGCATTTTCTCAAGCACAGGAGACACAACTATGGTGCAAACCATTGGAGAAACATCTGTAAAACAGTGCAAGTGGTTTTTATAATTATATTTGGGGTAAAGGGTTTTAAAACTCGACGTACCTTTCACTTCAGATCATAATGTGTTGCTGGGTAACACATAAATGAAGTTAGTGTTTTAATGTTCGATCATACATACGTTCATCTTCATCTTTCCCAGTTCCACTTTCGACTTCAGACAACCTGAATATAACCTTCACATCCACTGTGTCCTTTCAGAGTAGTGTTTTTGGAGAACGAAAATCAGAGCGTGCGTCTCAAACACGTCAATGGCATACCTTAAATACTCTTGCTCACTCATCTATTATCACACTGATGTATCCGTCACATCAGCTTCCAGTGATTCTCAGTTAGATTTCCAACCAGGACAGGACAGCACAGTCACTCCCTGTTTAGTCCCAGACCTTTCCTTTGATGCAACCCTTCCCCCAGTTCAGTTAGTGGGTTGCCTGCTGCCCCTCTTTTACTGTGGCTGTAGAAATAGTGGCCCTATTCCTGATCCACTGGAGGCATGAGGCACCCCAGCACGCCCCCTAGAGCGGACAGCCCTCTGGGCCGTGGTCCTGACAGGCTCCAGGGTGTCCTGCATGGGCCCACAGAGCAGTCAAGTCAGCTGATCTGAAAACACACAGTGGAACATCATGAGGACACATGACTCATTTGTTTAGGGGAAATAATTAGTGCTGCCTGCTCAGGACAATTTCAGTATCGTTTTGGGATTTTGGGGGGGGAAGTAAACAAACTCTGAACACTCTGCGACTGGATAACAACATGCTAAAACTGCTCAGAACAACTTAATAAACACATAGCAACACCTGGGCAAACACACAGAAATCATATTTTCCTTAAAAAAGTGTAAAAAGAAAAACTGCTATTGGGTGTTTCTTCAGTTATGAGAGCTTCCGCCACATAATCAGAAAACAAACTTTCTTATTTGTAAGACTGTAAAAATGTTGATGTGTGTATATATACTGTATAATATATATACATATATATATGTTTTATATTTTATATCGTCTGGCAAACATGTCCATCAGTGCACACTGCTATTTAAAAATTTGTGGATTATGTAAAAAAAAAATTCAGCAAACATACATAGAACTGATCAAAAGTAAGACAGTAAATACATTAATAAAATCACAAATGATTTCTATTTCCAAAATCAATACTGTTCTTTTGAAATTGTATTCATTAAGCAATCTTGACACTAAATATATCATGGTTTCCACAAAAATATTAAACGGCACAACTGTTTTCAGCATTGATTAATATTAATAATATTAACATTAATAATATGTATAAATTACATTTTAAAATATATTATCATGTATATTTTTATATTGATATTATATATGCATATTTATATTTATCAAATATAAATAATTTATTTTACTTTGTAATTATTTCACAATATTACTGTCGTTACTGTCGTTTTTACCAAATAAATGCAGCCGTGATGAGCAAAATATATTTTTCTTTCAAAAAATTTCACAAACTTTTGAATGGTGGTGTAAAATTTTTTTGTTGTTGTTTTACTGTAAGAATTTTGTTAGTTTTAATAAAATCAAATCCACATCTGGAACATAAAAATACCAGAAGTTATTAAAATTCATATAATTATTACTATAATTATTATTATAAAGATAGTTTGATTGTAGTATTGTGGTTTTATATGTCCATCTAAAAAGGTTACAAATATTTAAGTTAGTTAAACATGCATATTCATGAACTGCTCACCTAAAAAAAACGAATTCTGCATTGTAACGCTGACAGGTGCAGCAACAGTCTAATCCCTGTGTGTCAAGTGACCCTGACTTTTTAAAGCCTGTTCTACAAATAACACATCTGAGATCTGAATTTAACAAACACAGCAACACAATCCAGGTCAGACATATGCTCTGCATTTTAACCCAAAACAAAGTGTCTGCCAGGTCCTAAAATAACAGCCTAGAGCCCTACTCAGGTTAGTGCTACTCCATATTTAGGCCCAACATCGTGAGTGTTGTGGTGCTCTCGGCTCTGCGGCCCCTGATGAAGATTATCTCTAGAGCGACGAAAGACCAGACCGCAAAACCTTGGCGTTTCCATGGCAACAGGGAAGCAACGTTTCATAAAAAGACGTTTCAGGGCCTTGGAAGAGATGTATGAATTAAAAGATAGTGAAACAAGAAGGCGGTTTGTGGGATTAACAGATTCCGCAGCTTTGAAATAGTTACAGGATTATTTCTTCAGAACTCAAATGAGATGCTTTTCTCTCAGTCGTACCTCAGAGGTTCTGGTTTTGTTCATATGTTGGTCTGCGAGTCCGTTCTGCTGTGACTCTTCGCTGTGCTCCTGTGAGTTCCTGCTGTTCCTCGTCGCTGCCGAACTCTGCGTGTCGTTCTCCCAGCGAGCAAAGCCTTTGCTCTTGGACGCTTTGCGGTGAGGCTTGTATCTCATTTTGGGGAAGGTGTGTGACCCGCTGTCTGCGACGGCCACCCAGCCGTTTTCGGGCCACAGGGGTTCTGTCTGCGTGGCCTGACTGGTGGTGGCTCTCTGGAGTCGCACTGAGATGCGCTGGGCTGAACCAGTCATCAGGGTGATGGACTTTCCCTCCAGGTCAGAGCCTGATGACGACGACACGGCGGGAAACGTAAACACCTCATCGTCATCTGTGCAATAACAGGACAAGAGAATGTTAGCAAAGGGAATATTTCTTCAATATTTTATCAGAAATAAAATCTCGTTTTTTATTAAACATTCTTAAAACAAGATCAATTTACAAAAAAATTGTTTATGTTATGTTATGTTAATTGTCTTGATTTATGTTTAAACAATGACTGACAATTACTTTTTCCAATAAATTTTCATTTATGATTAAAACTAGAAAAATTCAAATGTTCTCTAAAACAAGTCTCACACAATTTTGCTTCTCAAATAAATTTAGCTTTGTCTGGCAAACATGTCCATCAGTGTACACTACCATTTAAAAGTTTGTGGATTGAAAAAATATATATGTATATATATTAATAATCCTTTTATCAGCAAGGATGCATTAAATTGATCAAAATCACTATCACTAAATATTTATATATCCTAAATCAGTGCTGTTCTTTTGAAATTCTCATCATTAAACAATCTTAACACAAATATATCATGGTTTCCACAAAAATATTAAACAGCACAACTGTTTTCAACATTGATTAAATACATTTTCTATAATAGGAATCAATTACAATTTAAAATATATTATCATGTATATAGTATGTATATTTATTTCTATATTTCTCTATATTTATTCTATATATATTTAAATATAAAACTAGAAAAACTCAAATGTTCTCTGAAAAGAAGTCTCACACAATCTCACATTAATTTGCTTATCAAATAAATTGAGCTTTTTTAAAGGATGTTTAGATATTTTTACTGGAAAACAATTTTTCAGTGAAACCTTACGAAGATAATTTTTTGTGTGTGAGATTTTTCAATTTACTTTCACATTAGATGATTTTTTAAAATGAATATAGAAAAGACGATACAGCACTTTTTAGTGGTAAGTGCATGTTTGTGTTTGCCTGAGAGAGAGAGAGACATCACACTCATTTTACACTGTTTTACTCTGAGATAAGCAGATGGTGATGTACTGTAAAGGTGTGTTTTCACCTTTACAGGTGGGCAGGCTGGGGCTGCTGGGTAAAGAGCTGTGTGTGAGCACTCCTGGAGACACATTGCCCAGCGACGTGGACCGAGGGAGACGCCGACACGCCAAAACCAGCAGCTCACGACACTGTTTATGGCAGTTCACACCACAGTCTGAAAACAAACAACAGAGAGTGTGCATTTATCTGGATTTATAAATGACAATAGTATACAATAAAGAAAATAAAAAAAAAAAGTATTAATCTTTTAAAAATATATATTACGCACATGCATGGGACCGATTTATATTATAAAAAAAAGAAGATAAACAGGATATCTAACAAGCCACTAATGTCAACTAAATAAACAGAAAAAAGAAACTAATAGTGAATTTATAAAATTAGTGCCCTGTTCAAGCATCAACATCTATTGTGATTTGCTCTATTTATTTATTTCTTACCTTTGCACTTGTATCCTTGTTTAATAATTCCCCAGAGCTGAAAACATGGACGACGGGGTGAAGAGGAAGGGCATGAAGAGAACAAAATGGAGAGAGAGAAGCATGAGAGTAATTATGAATTGGGGACAGAAGCAGCAAGTTCATGCCATTTGAGTTTATGGTTTTCTGTACACAGACCCATGAGTAATAAACAGGATACTTCCACACGTTGCACCCTTCCTGTGCAATACAGTGTGACAAAGGTGGATCTTTGTGTGTGTGTCTGAAAGTCTGTTTAAAAGAATGTGTGTGTTAACTCAGCGGATTCCTGCCTAACCATCTGTGTAAATACAGAACAATTTGAGCAGTAGTGACTTTGACTAAACACTCACTGTAGTGTATGCACTCATTCTATAGTTCATCAGCCCAGAATATTCAGTTCAGTGGCAAAAGGAAATGTGTTGCATTTACTAGGAAAGACAACTTCTGTGTGTCTACGGCCAGAGATGTTTTGTATACAATGACCCTCAAAAGTATGTGGACACTTAAAAATGTCTGAATGGCATTGCATTATATTATTAATATATATGTTGTTTTCTGTCATGCACTGTTTTTAAAAAAAATTCCAGTGTTGTTTTATATTTTGTTAAATAATCCAAAAACATTATTTACTGTATCTCGTTGAAATGTTTGGGGTCGGTAATAATTTTTTATATCTTTGAAAGAAGTCTCTTATGCTCATCAAGGCTGCTTTTAATAAAAAATGCAGTTGAAAGAGTAATATTGTGAAATATTATTATAATTTAAAATGTAAAAATGGTCATTTATTCATGTAATTACAAATGCTGAATTTTTAGCAGCCATTACTTCAGTCTTCAGGGTCACATGATCCTTTAGAAATCATTCTAATATGCTGCTCAAGAAACATTTCTTATTATCAATGTTAAAACAGTGCACGTATTTTTGTAGAAACTGTAATGAATAGAAAGTAAATAAGAACAGCATTTTATTGTCAATTTTGATTCATTTAAAGCATTCTTGCTAAATAAAATTATTACATTTCTTTAAGAAAAATGTAAATGTTACTGACCCCAAACTTTTGAACAGTAGTGTATTTCATTATTTTCTAACAGTCAGCCACTTGGCCTGTAATGAGAAGAACAGCAATAAAATTTGTAACTCAACTAGCCAGAAACCTTGGGAGTGAAAAACAGCTAGACACTGTGGTTTTAAGGTTGGATTTAACCTTTAAACACTGTCTGCATTGGTTCAGTGATGTTGTGGTAAACTCAGGTCTTGCTAGGTACGCTTGTTTGCACACACACAGAGCTGAACCCTCAGAAGTCTTCTATTGCACTTTAGTCCTATAGAGCAGCTTTGTATAAGCGTTGCACAGCAGAAACCACCCAAAATACATGATCAATTGTGCTGATGTGAAAGGAAAGACGTAAAATCAGCTCTTACAAATCCAGCGCAGTGTTCACAGAATGTTGGCTTCAGGTAAGTCATCTCCTGGAAGTTGTGAATAAAACCAGGCCCCATCTTACACTGCAGCAGCGGGTTGGCACGCAGGAAATATGCCATCATCTCATCCTTACTGATCAATCCATCCCTGCACAAAAAGAGAGAGATCATCATGATAGCCTCCAGCTCATAAAGCATTTGCTTCCTGTGTCAAAACAGGTACGATATCTGAACAGAATCATAAGTGTGAGCGCAAGAGCTCAGAAGAAATGCATGCAGTCACATGCCAGTAACGCGGTTTGAGCGCTGAACGGCTAAGATGAACCACAGAGGACGCCTGGGGAATTTGTGAGTGTGTGAGAGAGTCTGTGCGTGCCTGATGCTGTGCATCCTTCACCGGGAGTCATGACCTTCAGCCTTTTAACAGTGCAGCAGGTAACCCACACTGAGCAGCTGCATGGCCTGAAGTCACTAATGTTGCATTACACATGATGCATTTTCTCTGATCATTAAAATGAAATACATAAATAAACTTTTATGTGTTCATCTAGTGGTACAGAAAGCCTCAGGCTTAAAAATATGCTGTATTTTCCCAAAACTAAAAAAAAAAAAAACACTGCAATTTAATTCTATTTAATAATGTATTACTGTTGTTTAAATATTACATCACTGTGTTGTTTAGTCGGCATGCCATGCTCTGCTCCATTTGCAGCGATAAAGCACGCTTACGAGTTTAGCACGGTTGTGAAGAACCCTTTGAGGAATTTCCAGACACTAAATTGACCCTGTCAGAAATATGATGATGTACTGAAAATGTGTCCCTTCCAATATCAGCGAGCACTTCTGAATCTATGCCCAGGCTTATAAAGGATCATCGACACAGACTATGAGCTGCTCTCGCCAAGAAACACTATTAGCAGTTTGGCACTGCAGGGGCCTTTTACAAGAATCACACATTTTGTGTGTGTTTTTCCTACTTACTGGTCTTTATCAAGCACGCAGAAGGAATCGAGGAAAGGGAAATTTGCAGCAATACTCTCAAAGTCTTCCTGAGATATGTATCCGTCATGGTCATGGTCGTAGTTACGAAAGACAGACTTCACATGCAATGAAAAACAGGAATACACAAGTTTAGTGAATGTGTTGCATTGAGCAAAAGCTCATTTATACATATATCTGTTAAATGGCTGGACTGTTCTCTGTATGTGGCATAAAAATGTGTACTGAAATAATCTACCATATAATCAAATTCATATGATTAAACCATTCAGGATGTTTGGAGCCACTGAAATAGGCTCGACATAATCAGCCCCTTAGATTCTGGTTTTATAGAACTGCAAAACAATTGGTGGCATTTATATATTTGAAAAAATATGAAAATCATTTTGATTTATATAAAACATGAACTCTAATGTTTTCAGTATCATAAATGTCTGTGAGTATTGATGTTGACAGCATCGTACATCCACGACTTTCCTGATGTGTTTGTTGACCACCGAGGGATCTGGTTTAGTGGTGACCCCAGAGGCCCAGTCCAGCGGAGCCAGAGGTTTGTTGGGCGTTGTGGGTGAGGTGGGCTGCAGAAAAAACATGGATGTTATTAAATTAATTCTGTTTAGCGCTAATTTTTTATAAAAGAAACCCTTTCCAGCAAAAAATTAATTGAGAGAGGAAGAAACAGTCTGTTACGGTTACAGTTGTGAACACAATATCAAATGGGTTACAGTATAAAACAGGATAACCTTATGAAATTTTCACTTAAATGACCAAAACATGTTGAATAAGTGGCTATGAGTTCCAAGGTTTGGGGTAGGTATTTTTTCTTTTTAAAAAGATGTTTATCAAGGCCGCATTTATTTGATCAAAAATACTAAATAAATCCTTGATTTTTAAAAATATTTTCAAGACAAATCTCTTACCTGAGATTTGGGATTACGGGGTTCTCTAAGAAGGGACAGCTCATAAATTTCATCCTCTGTGTAGTACAGATCCAAGGACAGCTTTACACAAACAGGCATAAAACAAAAAAAAAATGTAAAGCCACTCATTTTAATTAATAAATGAAAACCACTGTGATTCAGTACTGCGGCGAGGCTTTGATTGAATGTGGAGATTGACAAGCACAGACATGCGAGCAGAACTCACAGTGAGCAGGTAGATCAGGTCCATGTTGGGCTCCACCTGGGCCACAGCGCTCTGCAGGGACACCAGCTCATTAAAGGTGAGATACAGCTGCTGCATCTTCACAATGTTCACTTTCCCATCCTCCACCCAGTCTGGGAAGACCACGTGCACGGCGATCAGGTCCTTCAGGTGAACACCTAGGATTGGGATCTTAAACCCTTCGCTTTCACTGAAGGCTTTGCGGTAAGCACAGTAATTGCATTTTGACGAAACCAACTCTGTCATTTCATTCCAGATCTGTCAATAGCATAGGAAATGACAGTTAGTGAAATTAATCACCTCACCTCTTTCTTTTATATGTTCTAGATATCACATGTCTGACTACTTGTTTTTTTTTGCTTGTCAGTGCATTTCTCATATACAGGTGTCTGAAACTGTATTCAGACACTTAAATTCAACCTAAATGTATTCATTTGCATTATATAACAAAATATCAAACCAAGTAACATCTGCGATGTGCGAAACATTTGTACAACAAACTATACTTTCCTAAGCCATTTTTGAAATACGTTTGACTATGATTATGCCTCATACAATGTTTCCTAAAAGTAACATCACATGTACTGCTTCAGCACTGGGAGTTGGCCTCCAATGACAGCTTGATTTTACGGACAAGGGAGTGAATAGTTTCTTAATAATTCTTTTTTTGCAGTGACTGTTGCACCTTGGTGACCTCTGGGCTGAGGTGTGAATGAGTTTCCTTCAAGCGGGAAATAGAACTGTGACTCAGACCCCCGACCACAGCCATCAGCGTGTTAAAGTTCTGCAGGTAGAGCAGTTTCTGAAAGGGACAGAAGAATCATATAGACTCTCAGATAGATAAATAAATGGGATATCTGATAGGATAGACAGACATATTATAGATAGATAGATAGATAGATAGATTTGATCCATTAGTTCACATATAATCTAGGGCTTTTCATTTGCAGCATAATTGCACAAGTGCTGGCTGATCTCATAAAAGCAGAGCTCTCCTTTATTATTGTAGCTCCAGCAACTCGACAGCTCGACACTTAACATCTATTAGCTGACATGGATCATGCCCAGCAGGCCTTAAAACAGATACTAAAAGCACAGGCTTTGTACTAAAGGGATGCCTGGGTGCTCTTCACAATAGAGGCGTTTCATACACCCCCGGTGGCGTGAGAGCAGGCAGGCGGCTCCCTCGCACTCTTTCGCTGGCAGACATTTACATATCAAAGGGCCTGGAAATGTCATCTAGCTGCTTTCAGAATGCACCGACATAAACGGGTTTGCTGGGTGAAGGGTCTCGCATTTGCGTAATCAACGGTACAGTTCGACAGCGTGTCGCTTTAGTGCGCTACTCGGAATGCACGTTTATTTTTCAGAATCCTGGCCTTTTACCAAACTTAGTCTTTCGTAATGAGTAATTCAATCATTTTATGGGCTTCATTACCTTGAAGTTGCATTTCCTGTTCCTTTATTTCTTACCCCTGTATTATTATATATTATATTACATTCTTCAGGTTTATTGCAATCCTTTTAGACAAGCTGAAGATACATTTATGTTCTTACCTGTGCAACATGGATGTATTTGTTGATGACCTCTGCTCTGTGCTGAGGGGTAAGTTTACTGAGAACCATCAGTTGAACCCACTGGGAGATCCCGTTAAACAGAGCGATGGAGCGCTCTAATGTGGGGTTATCTACTAGACAGCCATGAATCACGTAACTTTGGTAATCTGTGAACTGAGGACATAAACAGAGACACATTCATACTAGTTTTAGAAAGTAACAAAGTAGTTCAAACAGTAGTTCCGTTGTTTTCAAAGCAACAAACCTATTCCAGTAACAAACTTTTGAATGATACTTGTGAATAAACATGCTAAATTAAATAGCCAGTCTGAATGTAGCATTGGAAGTGAATCGGTTTAATTCTAGTGAATAGGTTCATTCAGATGGTTACTGTAAATATACAGACTGATTCATTCTGGTAAATCAGTTCGCCCTAAAGTCTCTCATATGCAGCTTCTAAAAAGTCCAGTTCGCGGTTTGACTGGCACACACATTTTAATTTCACCCCAAAATGAAAATTTGCCGTAAATTTGCACTCCCTCAGGTCATCCAAGATATAGATGAGTTTGTTTCTTCATCGGAACAGATTTGGAGAAATTTAGCATTAAAATCACTTGCTCACCAATAGATCCTTTAGAATGTGAGTGCAAACTACCACTACTGAGGGTGAGTACATTCTCATCAAATTGCTTGTCCAATCACAGTGTATATATCAGTTTCCTCTCAGTACTGCTCCAGCTGCCATGCTTAATGCTGTTTGTTGTCAGGTAACAGCCTTGAGAAAATGTTCAAACCCATCATCACTGTACTTACTTGTGGGGAACTGTAACCTTGAAGCAGAGTCTGTCTAGACCACAAACGCAAAAGAGAGAAACAGCTCACAACTCTGCAAACATTTGTTTAGTTGGTTTGCTGGTGTGCTAATTAAACTCATCTTACCCTTACAAAAAAGTATTGTGGTTGCACCATGGTACGGTGATGGTACAAGATAATACTTTGAAGCAAGAATTACCATATTTATATGCAGCAAAATAGTGTTTCGATGGAATTTCATGGTATTTTATCGCTGTGGTTTTTAACTGGCATGTTGTAACCCCAAAAAGGTTTGCAGGTCTATTCTGGGTTACAGACAACAAGAGAAAAAAAACAGTAACTAAACACAAAAGCAAAATAATAATAAAAAATAACTACCTGTATAATCCTGCAAAAATTTAGAATACTATAAATAATTACCTTTTAAAAGCTAGGAGAAAAGTCTTCCTGCTTTTTTACTTTTGTTGTTGATGTGAAAGGCTGTGCATCCAATGGGCTACAATATTTTGGCAAATGGTCTAACATTTTCAAAACAAAATATGAATGTTTCTTGAGCACAAAATCAGCAAATTTCTGCTTGTAGACAAATTTCTGCAAATACATTTGATTTCTGCAGAATCATGTGACAGAAGACTGGAGTAATGGCTGCTAAAAATTCAGAAATAAATTACATTATAAAATATATTCAAAAAGAAAACATTTTAAATTGTAATAATATTTCACAATATTACTGTTTATACTGTTTTTACTGCACTGATAAAATAAATCCAGCCCTGGTGAGCATAAACATATTCTTTTGAAAACATTATTAAGTGGGTATAAATAAGTCTAAGATGGTACATGACATGTACATGACAAAACATGTCATGATTACAAAAAAAACAAAACAAAAAAATAATGGTATTATTATAATACTTCTTGTAGTTCTATCAGACATGCAGAGTTGATTTCCTGTGGACCCCCTGATAAACAGCAACAAATCTAGCCTGATTGGATGCTTCCAGTAAATATCAAGGCTACATTTTAAATCGAGCAAGGTTGCTTTTCCCACAGCAGGATGCAGTTCTACAAAACACTGACCTCCTTCATTTTGTGATGTTTTTGTTTTGGTGACTCTCACCAAGTCCCTGGAGAAAGGAACGGATGAAGCGTATTTATGTCAGATGCATGCTTTTTATCATTAATTATGTAGATGTTTTTGACTGTCGGACTCACTAAGGGCACTGAGACACAAAAACACATTCTTTTCTTGCTTTTCTGTTTGTTTGTTTTTTGAGACAAACATCGGCTGTGAGTGACATCATGCCGTTAGGAGGTAACAACGCAAGGGTGTTTGTATGGTGTAACTGTGCACATTAGTGAGACCAATGAGAGCAGGGGTCAAAAGGTCATCAGACAACTTTTACACAACACCTCAATATACACTGATAACTGATAAGTTACCCTAACCACAGGTGTGTGCACATTGGAAAGTGTGTGTGTCTTTTTTATATCAAATCGGATAAAACTATTTTAGACTTTTTAGACTTAATACAATGATTTAAATTGCTAATTACATTGTGTATTAAAGGCATTACATATTAACATAATTTGATAGTCAAAACCCATAAATTACCATGCATTTCAAAATGTCTTGTTTTTCCCATTTTGCTTAAATGACAAGCTACATAAATGACAAGCTGCATAAATGCCATAAGTTTGTGTAAAACCCCACGACTGTTCTCTGGCATGATCCAGAGAGAATTTTGTGCTTTGATGAAAGGAAGCAATCTAATCATCTCTACAAGACTTTGCATGGTCACATGGTCAAATTTACTAGTGATCTAGAAACAGGGCTGAAATCTTAGATATCCTCAATTCTTTTACATTTCATTGTCAGATGAATTTTTTAATTCTAAAATGCTGTTTATTTCCAACTGTTTATTTTTATTTTCAACCCCTTACCTTACTGATCACTTGTGGTGTTCCCAGTCAAAACTGACCAACCTACAAAAATCGCTTATAAATTTCTTGCTATGCTACATTATTACCAAATCTTAAAATCAATCTTGTTTCAATTAATTTTTATTGTATTAGCACAGATTTTGTAGTTCTGTTCAGTCTGGAAACTGACTGATTGTAGGCCTCAATGATCTGAGCTTATTAACCTCATTTTCACCTTAGCAATTTTTTGCAGGTTGGTCATTTTTCTCCGGGAACACCACAAGTGTAACAAGGCATGGGAAAAATACCAAAAAAGTTACAAAAATCTTTTTTGAGCAAAGTCAGTAAGTTTTAGTCCAATGTGACTACATTAACAAGCATTTTTGGGAAAAAGAAAACCCTCTCAGGTTCAAAATGATAGAACACAAAGTGAGTGTTAAAATAAGGCTGGAATAAACTACATGACTTTTGCCCTGATTTCCCCCTGATCTACAGTTGACGCAAGTTCCTGAAAGTAAGAGCCAGTCTGCAGATCTGAGTTTACGGATTTCTTAGAAAATCATTTAGTGTATGATAATAACAGTCTGCGATTTTTTTAGCTTCAGACTATGATTCCATCCATTCAGAGGAAAACATGTTTGATATTTTCAGCTGATTTTAGAGCACATATTGTTGACATGTCTCCTAGTGTGATGAGAAAATGAGATGATGCATCTTAAGACGTTTATCCCAAAGAATACGTTTCTGTGTGAGTTTGCTGTGATCGGAAGGACTTCAAATTCTGGTAGTGTATGATCCTCAGTCGTTAAGTGTATGATGCCCAGTTTTCCGTTTGTGACTGTTTACAAAATTAAGTGTATGATGTCTAGAATTTTAAAATCTGTTCACATTTTATAAGTCTAGTGGTGTATTCCAGCCTTTAGATTTTAATTCTCAGATCATTATATAGTCTTGTATTTATTCTCAAAACAAATCCTGTGGTTTTGGTGGAGTAATAGATCTGAAAACTGGCAGGCAGATGTGAATAGAGAACAAAGGAAAGGTTGCCTGAGGAGATATGCTATGTGAATAATAGATGGATGAATCGCTGAATCATTCTTTGCTGTGCACTAAAACACAAAATGTCCACTGTGGACAAATGTCGATCTGAAGGAGTGATGCCTGTCCTTGTGACGTCATCACTCCTCATTCTGAGCACAGGCAACAGTCACGCAGCCCCCGGAGAAAAAATAGAAAGAAAACACTATATAATAGCATCCTCACGACATGCTCTGTTGTTGCCTAGCAATGCAAATAAACACCTTAAATCATTCAGAAGAGGAAACTCATGGGGAATAAATGGGTTGTTTGTCTTGTTAAACGGAAGCTGTTTTTATTTACCTCATTAAATAGCAGATCTTCAGTCGTGTCCGCTGGCAGTCATCTCCCCGACAGTCACGGTACGTGATAGAGAGTCAAGGAGCATTAAACATGCTGGAGAATGAATGGATGTATATGCACATACAGTATGCAGTGAATGAATGGCATTGCCTTACACAACATATTGATTCAAGTGGCATTTATATAAAAGAAGGATAGCAGAAGCACACTTTCAAGTAAAATAAGTTTTTGCATTAATGGCTAAGAAACGTACAGTGAATTCTGAGAAATGTAGCATCATTTTTTTGGAGATGCCACTTGGTATCTACTGAGATCTAACATCAAACACTGTTAAAAACAGATATCTACTGAAGCATCACACACACAAACCACACACTCACTCATACTGGACTGCCACAGGATATATAATCAGAAGTTTCCCAGCGAGCTCAGTGGAGGACACATACCAGCGATGCATCAGCAGAAGGGTTCGGGGAAGCTGATTTTCATGCAGCTCTCCTTCATCATCTTTAACAGAAAGAGACAGTCACAGAAAGAGGGAGGAATATTACAAGATCAGATCTAATATAATATAATATAACCAAAAATAATCATAATAGGTCACACTTTATTTTAAAGTCCAGTTCTAGCTATTAACAAACCATTAACTATGACATTGGCCTTAACCAACTCCTAATTTGCTGCTTATTATTAGTTGGTAAAGTAGTTGTTAAGTTTAGGTATTGGGTAGGATTAGGGATGTAGAATATGGTCATGCAGAAAATGTGCTTTATACGTACTAATAAACATGTTAAACATGTTAATAATAGGCATGCTATAATAAGCAACTAGTTAATAGAGTGAATTGGTCCCTACACTAAAGTGTTACCTAATAATATATTATAAGAAAAAATAGAGCATGAGTAATGGAAAAAGGGAGGGTTACACATTTTTAGTATATTACAGATTGATGAATAGCACCTCAAAAACATAGATATGATATGAGATACATATGATACATATATGAAAATTGATATAAAGACCTAACGGAGGATATCAGTAAACAATCAATAACATGGGTCAATAACATTGATCAGTAATTATACTGATCAATAAGAGCAGCAAGACTAGGAATTTTAAGTATGATCATTTATAGTTATTAGCAACTATGATTAAGCAAAACAGAGGTCATTAATCATATGCAATCCATAATGGCATCAACCATGACCAATAACAGTGGTCAATTACTGTGATTATTATAGTCAATTAATGAATTTGAACAAACATAAGATCTAGCAACTGAGCTAGTCTGAGATTGGTGCGTGAATCTGTTAGAAACCTATAAAACATGGATAGCGGCCAAAATGATAGCTGTCATTTTAGTGTTCACTCACCAAACGCATGAATGCAGGCTTCCAGCAGTAGCTCCAAAGAAGCAGCTTTCCCCAGCGTAAACGACCCCATGACCTCCCGTCTGACCTGACCTCACTGGGACATCCAGATCTCTGCCATTAGGTAAGCCACCCTCTTTCTCTCTTCTTTTCTCTTCTCTTTTAAATGTGCTCAGTGTGCTCAGCAAAACAATGGTTGACTTGTGCCTCACTGCAGAAACAAACAAAACAGTGTCAATTAAAAAAAAAAAAGGTTAAAGAAATATTTTATAAAGCCTTTCACATGCTTGCACCGAGGGGCTTTACTGTGAATGAACTGATGAGGCTTTATAATGAATGAACTGATGCTGTTCAGTGTTCAGTAATCACCTCTTGCTTTAAAGTTTGTCAGCCGATCTTCATCTTTTTCAAATTTTTTGATGAATGCAGTACAAAATAGGCCCTGAAACTCTTTTTAAAAAGGAAAGGAAGTGCTTAACCTTCAAGAATGTTCATCATCAACATTCAGGTGGTCAAACTAAATTAGCCATTTCATTTTCCATTCATTTTATATTGAGGCTAGTCATTTTTGCTAAATGTCCAAACCATGGATCTATGCCAGAACTTTGTCTAAATTAGGCTATCACTTAGGAAGAGCTAAATATTTATTATTCATTAAATATTTAATAAATAATAATGTCTTACCGTAACAAAAAATGCAGTCAGTAAATTTTTTTTGTGCTTTTTGCATTAAGAAGGATGTGCATAAAAATAGTTAAATATAACAGTGTTAAGTAATAAAAATTAGTTAAATTTTTGGGTAAAGACAAAATATTTTGGTAACACTTTAGAATAGGGAACACATATTCACTATTAACTAAGGGTTTTCCCTGAACAAACTCCTAATTTGCTGCTTATTAATAGTTAGTAAGGTAGGTGTTAAGTTTAGGTATGGGGTTGGGATCTAAAATATGGTCATGCAGAATAAGGCATTAATATGTACTTTATAAGTACTAATAAACAGCCAATATGCTAGTAATAAGCATGCTAATAAGCAACTAATTTATAGCGAGAACTGGTCCTTTAAATAAAGTGTTACCAATTAATTTAACAAAAATAATTTGCATTTCAATTTGACAGATTATGCCTAAATTGCTAGGTTAATTTGCAGTTTAAAAATAGTTTATCTAACACATTTAATAAATCCTACAAAAGGCAAGCAAACAAAATAACATGGGATTTGTTCCTCAAATGCTTTAAAAAATAAACTAATGGTATCCATAAAGTGCCTTTTGTATTTCGCCCTAACCCTTCTCTCCAAACCACATCAGCAGACAGATCTGCGTTAAAGCTGAATTGTTTGACTGCTTTATTCTTCTATGAACTCCCTATGGCAGCTATCAATATTTCATCTCTCTGGCGGGAGCTCTGTTTGCATGACGCTACATCACACATCACGATTCCACACAGATGGCATGACCTCATTCTGGCCCACTGAGCTGGACGTACACTACCTGATTAGAGCTTACATAAGATAATAGTGTCTTAACTCATTAACACTTATGAACGTCGTGGAGGATAACTAAATAGCCCTTCAAACTGCCACTAAATCTTGCTCCTCTTGTGTTGCTTTGTTGTATTTCTGTCTTATGCTGTGAGGTGTACATCAGTTTTCCCGGATGACGTGTGTTTTTTCCTGAATCCTTTATCTATGTAATCAAAACGGGCAGGGTAAGTGTGTGTTCCTGTGCACAAATAGCTAATAGATTAATTTTAGATTTGGGTTTATTTTTATTGCAGTGAAGATCAGAAAAAATGCAATCTGAAGGATCAACAACAAATTATCGTTCAAACATCTAATTACAAACACTGGAAATCAAATCTAGCCATAACAACAACAACAAATGTACACAGAGGTTAAGCAGCTGCTTGCGACGGAGAAGGCTCAGATTAATCTTATGGGACTTTCAGTCGGCATCCTGGTCTTTGAAGTAAAACAGTCCCTGTATGAAGTCATGTGTGAGATACAACGGCAAACGAGGTACCTGCGCTGCTGTCAATAACTCTGTTCGGAATTCATTGCCGTTGTCTTGGAGACGCCCTCTCATGATGTCATAAATGACCCCAGCAAGTGAGGTGATGGAAGAGATGAAAGAATCTATGTGGGACATGCAAAATAACTGCAAAACCATCAGACATTTCCATCCTGATCCCTGAATAGATAGAGATAGGGAATAGATCCCTGACCACAGAGATGAAGGGACCAGCGCCGTGGTTATAAATATCTCAGTTTAATTTTCACCCCTCTCATCTGTGAGTTTGAGTGCTGATGGCTGGAACCTGTCCTGACTCGCCTCATCCAGACCAGCACACACAGAGACATCAGTTACACAACCGTCACATGAAGCCAAATATATTAGATATTTATGACTCAAGCGCTATTAAATCCTGCATGATCTAAAATGCAGTGTGATATTAGTTAATGATGATTTAAGATTAATCACTATTAAACAATATCAGCAAAATTTAGTTCCTACATATATGCTTCAGTTTCTACATTTCATAAATTAAGAAATTACACTCTTAAATGTTCGACTAGCTGCATTACTGTGTTCCTGTGAGAAAATGCATGTCAAATCGTTCTCATACCCTTCTTTAGTTGCCAACCCGACTCAATATTTCAAAAGACTTTTCCCCTGCTGAATTATTACTTATATTTCTGTGAAATGCTTTTATAAATAGATTTTGACCATGTTAGAAATGTAGATTTTTTTTCTTTGTAACAGTGTTAAACAAACCAGCTTCCTTCAGTTCTGACAGCATAGAGAAGGCATATACAAAATTGATGTCTTTTTGTCCATGTACTATTGTCCAAAAGTTATGAGTTAGTGACAGTAAAGATATTTATATTAAAAAAGATCTTCGTTTCCACAAAAATATCAAGCAGAAAACTGCTTTTAACAGTAAATAATAAAAATAAGAAGATATTAAAAATAAGAAGAAAAAGAAATCTTGAGCACTAAATCAGCAAATTAGAATGCTTTTGAAAGGACTGGAGTAATGGATGCAAAAAAAATCAGTTTAAGTATATATTTGAAACAGAAATTCTAAAATTATTTCACAATATATTCACAAAATGTTTTTTGATCAAATGCAGTTTGCAATATTATTGACCACAATCATTTTAGGGGTTGTGTATATGCTAGTACACTTCAAAAATCACAAATATATGAATTTAAAATGTACAGTCTTTCTCTTTCTAGAAAATGGTGACTCATCCTGCACTACAGAGATTGTTATCCAATCAAATGCTCTCTAGAATGAGAATGGTCCACCCTCGAATACCATCTTTCTTACTAGCTTGTAACAAATTATGCTTATAACCATGACTGAACTAGTGTATATGCTAGTACACTTCAAAAATCACAAATATATGAATTTAAAATGTACAGTCTTTCTCTTTCTAGAAAATGGTGACTCATCCTGCACTACAGAGATTGTTATCCAATCAAATGCTCTCTAGAATGAGAATGGCCCACCCTCGAATACCATCTGTTTCTTACTAGCTTGTAACAAATTATGCTTATAACCATGACTGAACTACTTTTTTTAAAGGGGGAAAAACACCCTATATGCCTCACACAAATGTCTAATTTCAAAAGGAAACACATCAACACAGGAAAGAATACTGCGCTTATCAAGCTATTTAATACTGTCTTTAAATGTGAGGTTAGAACAGCAGGAGTGCTACTTTTAATAGCACAAAACTGGAATAAACTGCCTCAGACAATACCTAAATACCATTTAATATTCTCATAAATGCAAGAGCACCAAAGAAGCTCTCGAAAATCAGAGCAAAACAGAGAGTGAGAGAATTACTCATTGAGAAAATGCACGGACTCAGAACTTGAATGTGATGATGTCAAAAGCATAAACGGTGAGCTCAGATCGAAGATGCTTTTCCTAAATCTCATGCAAGAGCCAAAGACTCACATTTCCCTCATTCACTTACCCTAAATCTTCACATTGAGGACAGCGGTGTAAATCTGGAGGGTCAAGTGTAACTTCCAAAAGCGTCTGTGGTTTGAGGACAGGAGAACTCCTCTCTAGCAGAACAGACTGCGATCAGCTGACTGACACTATCCCACTGTCCTCCACGCCTGTTTGTAAACACCAACGCACATCAGACGGCCATATGACAGATCATCACAGCCAATCAGAGTGACAGAAGGGCTCAGAACACGAACAGGGGACAAGATGAATACAAATGGAAGAGAGAGAGTGAAGAGGACATGTGAGAATCAAGCTAGAAGAGACATAAAATGAATAATAATAAAGTGAAAAAGAGACTAAGAAATTAAAAACAAATAGAACTTTCGTGTTACAGCACTGGGACAAGTTGGATATTTCTTATTGGCACTACACTATAGACAAAAGCACTTCAAGCGAGAAAAATAATAAATATGATGTGAAATAAGGCAGGACAAGCAGGACAGAGTGTCTGGGTGAAAAGCAGATGCAGCAGATGTCTGTGTGTCTGGCAGCAAGAGAGGAACAGCTGCCCTCTACATCTGTGTGCGTGTAGTGAGATGAAATCACTGGGTTCTCAGTGAACTGGACTGCTGCTGTTCAAAACCCAGACTCCTCCTGCTGACCCCCAAGAAAGGTCACAGAAGTCAAGCATATCAGCATTTCTTTATGACTTAAGACTGATGCAGGCCATTTCACCAGCAGTTATTTTCACCTGCAGTTATTTCAGTGCAGGTACTTCATTTCAAACAGCATTAATTTCTACTGTATTTTTTTTGTCCATTTTACCATTTATTTTTCTAGAAAAATGACAAATGTCATAGAGAGAAAATTCCAAAAGTCTTTCCCAATTTCCTGACAATCATAGCTTACATGTGCATTAGTCAATATGTTGTATGGCTGTGGATTTTCAGGAAAATTCATTGTAAATCTTCATTTTTTTTCAGAGTTTGCAACCTTTTAGTGATATAATGCTGCTTTGTGTTTGCAAAACCAGTTGTTGTTGTTGTTTTTTTTGCAGTTTCTTTTTAAATGCAGTCTAGAAAATCAGTAAGAGTGTTATATTTTTAAGAGAAGTCTCTTATACCCACACCAAGGCTACATTTCTTTAATTAAAAATTCAGAGAAAAAAGTAAGGTGAAATATTATTATGAATTAAATGTTATTACAGTGCTCCATATTTTACTATATCTTAAAATGTAATTTATTCCTATGATGGCGAGGGAAAATGGTTACATGATCCTTCAGAAATTATTCTAATATGCTGATTTGTTGCTTGAGTAACATTTCTTATTTTCTTCAGATTTTTGAATGGCAGAGTACATTATGAAAATTAAAGAAAAATATTTATGGTCTATGTCTGGCTTGCTGCCTGTTATTAGGTGAGCACTGGTTTAAAGGAAAAAATGTAGCTGAACTCGAAACCACAGTCATGTTCCCTCCTCCTCAATCTGTATATTTCCTCCTCATTATTTTGAACTGCTTTAAAACGTAAGTTTTGAACGACCTTGTTGTGGGCTGATTATAAAGTTTAATTCACAAGTACAGTGCCCTGACCAACACTAAACTACAGTAAGAATGAGATCTATCTCTCTTCGTAGACAGCAACTGTGATGAGGACCGTGTCACAACATTCACACAGAGCTTCCACTGCTAATACAGACAAGAAAAAAATGAGCATGCATGGATGCACGCACGCACACAAGAACATTCACACACGCAGACAGAAAGCTCTCATGCACATAAACAAAGACGCAAACCCATCTTGCTCCCTTGAACCATTCACACAATGCCAGAGACCTGCAATCAGTAAATGAGTAACCTCCCCACAACCTCATTATCAAACAGTCATCTAAAGCTTCAGACCACAGAGACAACAGCCAATTATCTCTGTCAGTCGCTCTATAAAGCCTGATTTACTACAGATGAACCGAGCAAACACAAAACACAACACCACCAGCAGTTCTAAATCAGATCAGGGCCCCAACCTGTGTACTTTTTGAGATTTACATCTTTCAGTCAAATTATGAACCATGAATCATCCTGTCAGTACATCAATAATAGGATTTCGTCTAGAACTAGCAACTTGACTTCCCAAACTACAAGCTACTCAAAGTAGTTAAATGGACAGTTCGCCCAAAGTTGATCATTTTGCCATCATTTATTCACCATCATGTTGTTCTAAACGCGAAAGTTTTTTTTTTTTTTAAAGAATGTCAGTAACTGAACAGTTTTGGTTACCATTGACTGCAACCACAGCAGTATTTATCTGGCAAAAAATAGTGTGGATGTCATGTCAACTGTAAAAAAAAAAATCACAAAATATTTTGCTACACAAAAGATTACAAGGACTTCCTGTGCAGGGAAATAAATTAGTGAATTATTTGCAGTTGTACATTTACAACTGTTTGAACAAACCAATTCACTAAAATGAACTGGACTTTTCAAAGCGGTATTCTACACAATAGATACAAGATATAGCGTGCTTGATTTTTGCCTGCAGCTTGTACAGTTTCGATTTGATAATTAAACAGTGATGCAGCATAACAGTGATCATGCTCCAATGCTACTTTTTGGAAAAAGTAGCTTGTTACTGGAAAATCAAGAACTTTATTTTTATATCTATGCTATGCATCTGGAAGATGTTTTTATCCGAAATGACATTGCATTCAATGGTATAATTAATCTGAAACCAAACATAACCATGAACTTGTGCAGTGCTCCACTGTTTGAGCTACATGAACCTCCAAATAAAATATTTTGAAACCAGTGTATCCACTTTCACGCTACTGAAAAAGGTAGTATCACTGCTGCTTTTAGTCAGGTACTCTCCAACACTGAAGGGTACAGCTTCCGCCCTGTTGAAAAAAACAGCATATGCTGGTTAGGTATGTTTTGACGCTGGGATGCTGGTTTAAACTGGTCCTTTGCTGGTTTATGCTGGTCCTTTGCTGGTTTAAGCAGGTCCTTTGCTGGTTTATGCTGGTCCTTTTGCTGGTTTATGCTGGTCCTTTTGCTGGTTTATGCTGGTCCTTTGCCAGCACATGACCAGCTTAAACCAGCAAAGGACCAGTTTAAACCAGCATCCCAGCGTCAAAACATACCTAACCAGCATATGCTGTTTTTTTCAACAGGGCGTGCAACTGAAAAAGGAACAACACTTTGACAACTTTGGGTAACGTTTCTCTCTGAAACAGAGCTGCTAACATCCTGCCACACACTGCAAAGGGACCGAGCAGGAACTACAGTCTGTGTGAAATTGCCATATAGAAAAGGCTAAAACAAAGTAATTATCCAGAGGAACAAAAGATGTGTATAATTCATAAAGCAGTGGCTGTCGCTTGTTCCTCACACTGAGCTGAAACTTCCCCAACACCATGCATTTTTAAAGAGTCATGCTAATGCTAACCTACTTAAAAGTTACAGCTTAACTTGACTGGTCTGTTGTTCATTCTGACATCTAGACTAAGAGTTGAAACTAGACGATGATCTTACTTGATGAGGACCTGGACAAGCTCAGATATTTCATGACACATTTGAAAAGCGCAAAAATGATAACTCACTCTAAAGTCTGGGATGCATCTGGCCTGAGAGCAACTGCTTTACCTCACGATCAGAAATCTGGATGAAAGAGAGGAATCTGTTACTGAATATATAGCTTTTGGCAATTGCAACACATGGCAGATGGGTTATTGAATAAAATTTTACAGTTTCATTTAAAGGAACTGTCCAACCAAAAATTTAAATTGTATCAGCATTTATTCACTGAAAATCTTAATGAAGATGCATAAATTATGGCAAACACTTATTTTTCTAACCCAGGGTTTAGAAACTGGGGTCCAGGGACCCCATTGAGTGTCGCAATTGATAATTTGAATTGAATTGAAAATGCTACTCTGTGATTTAGCATGCTGATAAAAGACACACTTGATAAAAAAAATGTTCAGCGAACATTTAATACATTTATTTTGGCTTCAAATACAGTAACAATATCAAATCCATTAAGTTATAATATCATGCTTTTTCGATTTAAAATTTTTTTTTTAACATTATATATGCAGAGAGAAAGGGTAAGTGAATGGTTTCTGTAATAATGAGACAGTGAATATTATGACAGATCTCTGGACCCCAACATTGTGAAATTCAGCAAGAAGGCCTGCGAACACCATGTGGCACTAGTGAATGTGAGAAATATTCATTCTTCTTCTCTCTCTCTCTCTCTCTTTCTCCCACAGTTTACTGATGCAGATGAAGGGATTGTTTGTCTAAAAGGCGAATGGACTTCCTTCTATTCTGGCCTTTTTCCTGTCTGTGTAGCAGGCGTCCCTGTGCAAGGCTAAAAATACTCCAAAACACACCGTAAACTGAAGCCCGGCACACAGGAACCACGTCACAATACACACGCGGGAGGGGTGGCGGTGACCACCAATCTGTCCTTTTGTGTGTGCAAAAGGGGGTGTGAGGGAAATAAAAAGACCATGAGCGAAAGACAATAGTCAGGAGTGTTAGCATTACTGTCTTTTTCTTTCTCCTCACCACTGCGGGTTAAATAAAGGCAGGTTGCTTTTTTTTCCAGTCAGTGGCTTCTGAACAGGATGTCATAGACACACAGTGGATCTGCGTCACGTGATTTCCGCCTCCCCCAAAATAATCAAGCCAGAGTAACTATAGTTTCAATAAACAGCATGACCTTGATCTGCTCTCAAATGAGCGCGACAAAACAATTGCAAATACATCAAACTCTCAGCCCGAACAACAGCGAGGGACATTAACGGCACGTTCAAACAATGGACAACCCCAATTCTCATTCTCTTTTGTTTCAAAGGCCCTCTATTCAAATGAGTGCCAGATATATTTAATATGACTACCATGTATAGAAACTCAGAGCCTATTTTTCCAGCTTCCATTCTTTGAGGGGACGAGTCCCTCTGGTTACCATAGTGAGGAGAATTTATTCACAGACAACAGGACTTCCCACCCAGCAGGGTGTCATTCAACTGCCGATATTTACGGGCAGGGATTACTCACAGTTAGGATCACCCACCCTCAGGCCCCCCAAGTATACCCTGCGAAAGCTTGCATTTTCCCATCTATCTGTTTGGCCTGTTTTAGTGGGTCTGGTTGAGGTACGAGCTCTTCAATCTGTCTGTGGTTTGTATACGCAAGAGTACAGGGGTGAAGACAGGTTTCAGAACGGAAGAGCTTTGCACAAGTAATGGCTTGGTAACACTAAACATGCAACAGCTGAATTTAACTCCAGTTTCAGGTGAGTCTCGCAGAACCACTGAATGATCAAAGCTCTTACCTCAGGACTGCAATACAGTGAGATATATCTATAATTCTCACCTGTTCAGGACAGGGGTGTGTCATTGAAAATGACATTTTGGTGAAGAACTCCTTCTCATCTAATGCACAAATACTATATAGGCACTTGCAATCCATTCCAGAGAAGTATTATAGTGGCATTTGATGGAGCTTTGACATATACCATGTTACTGAATGAACTTTCCATATTCATGTACCAGATTATTTATATGGCACTTCAAGATCAAATGGACAGTAAACTGAGTATCTTCTCAGATTTTTCTGTAAAGAGGCATGTCAAATTACTGGAAGTTTAGAAAAGATCTCAACAATGTTGCATACTGCACTCAGAAGTTTGCAATTAAAAGTTTGCAATTAAAAGATTTGGATATCAACTACACATTTCTAATCACATTCTTTGAAAACCACAAGATTTGGGCTTTGATAACATAAATCACATACATTTTAGCACTTGATACTCTTACTGTATATCAACTAATTTGTTTGGTTTCTCTAAAGGATATTTTAGCAGAAACATTTATGGATCACATCTGATAACTTCATTAGGTATCTTATTATTACTGCTATGAAAGAGGAACCTGGTACATTTGAAGGCAGACATATTGGTACTTTTTTGTTAGTAATCAATTTAATCACTGAGCATTTTTAAACTAAGTCTGATGATACACGGGGCAACTTTGGTTAATGTTGACATCAATGGGCAACCAAGTGAGACACAGGGCCCAAAGTATCCAGATAGAAATTTGTTACCCATTCTCAGTGGGAAAGTGCCCAAGAAACAATGTTCAAAAAACTTTGCCTGGCAAAATTGCTCAAAAAGTTACCCTGTGTATCATCAGCCTAACTGTATTACAGCATAAATTCCAATATTTTAGTGAACACAACACTGATTTCACATCATGCTATGTGAACAGTTCAGTGAATCATAATTAAATGACGAAGTAGGCCATAGCAACATTGAAGGACACTTGTCCTTCCTCTATCTGTTTTTTTCTCTAAACGTGTATGTGCATTGTGTGTGTGTGTGTGTGTGACACTAGCAGCTGTTTTTCTGTCCTCCTGATTGTTCATTCAAAAGGGATGCAGACCATCTTGTTTCGTCTCATCGAGTCTAAAAAAGAACCAGCTAAACACAAACAATGAGCACATATCCTGCTCCGCCAACCCAGTTTGTTTCACACTCTGACAGTGTTTGTTTTAAACAGCTACGTGAACATTAGCATTGGGCTATTGTTACCGATGTGTGCTGTGTCAGTAGACAAGAACAAAGCGTATGAAACCTCTTCACAAAGTACTGACATTCCATCACCCTTCTGAAAAAGCTGTTTCAGAATAATAAATATGAAAAGACTGATTAATATTTATATTTAAGTGCACTCTTTCACTAATTGTTATGTGGCTGAGGTTTGTGTCACATGAAATGCTGTGGAAGATTTGAGGTCATATCTTTGATATCCATGACTCCCTTGTCTAAGAATCCAGTTTACCAAACATTTACTTGGATTTTGCATAAGTGTTCTTAGAAATTCCTTAAAACGTCTAACTGAAATGTCGAGCTGCTCAGAGCCGGATTGTTTTGTTCTTCAGTAATCATGACTAACACATTTATCCAGGCATCACACTTACAAAACACTTCCATGTAACTTTAGTCAAATACTATGAAAGTCTTGGGTAATATTACACATTATAAAGACCTGATAAACACTTTACTTGTGTCTTTTCGTGGAGGTAGATTTTGTGGCTCTCATGAATATGAGGAAATGTTACAGGTGTACTTTACATACATATAACCCTGCATTATGCTTGCACTGAATGACACAAGCAGTAACTTTTGACTGAATCGATGACAGCTGAAACAGAGGACAGGTCACAGAAGCTACTGAAAGACTGATCCAGGATCAGGGATCAAACATTTCTGATGTGAGGTCAACAGGGCAGGAAAGACTTCTGATGAGAGTTAAGTGCTTTTTGCTGTAATTCACTGCCATCTGGTTCAACTGCAGAAAGTGTGTGAATTTCTGTACCTGATTTATTGTTAGAAAGAGGAAGACTAGAGTGGAAGATTGAGGAAATTAAAATTAACACTATTTCCTCATATTGTTGAACAATTCATTGGTGCATGTCATTTCAAAGAAAAAATAGTTTGTCTTCACCATCACCACCTTTAATCAAAATATAATAACTTCCTTTTATAATGAAACAATTTTCCTTTTTCTGCAGAAATCACATAGGTTGTGTGGTAATTGGATCATTTTAACCAATAGCCAAACAATTTATGCAAAATTGTAGCAAACTTGAATACGCTCTAACTTCATTCCACTTGTACCCATCATAGAAATTCCTTAAGGATAGAATCAAGTCATTACACTTTTTTTCTTGTGAAAAATAAGAAATGTCAAATTACTGAAATAAAATGGGTTGCAGATGGCAATTCATGCATACTTTAAAGAAGTACAATAGTTCAAACAGATTTGGATAAATTTAGCATTACATCACTTGCTTACCAATGGATCTTCTGCAGTGAATGGGTGCCGTCAGAATGAGAGTCCAAAAAGCTGATAAAAGCATGAATTATTGTCATAAATTAACATTTTGTAGCGTGGAAAGCTGCGTGTTTGTAATAAACAAATCCATCAAGACTTCAAACCATTGCTTACTGCTAAAATACGAGTCCCTTATCCAAAATACTGCTTTCTCCTGTGAATAAGTTGTCTTGCCTGAATCAGGAGAGATTCATGCACAGATTAAGTATCGTTTAAAAGCGAAAAGATTTCTAAACAAACATATCAGTGGATTTTGATGCGAGAAGACAACAGGGATGCACTTTTTCACTGGAGAAAGAGTTATAATGAGGTATGGACAGAAGCGACAGTTTACAGTGAAAACACCTTTGCTTCTTACAAACCTTTACAAGACGTTAATTGATGGACTTTACTACTACTTTACGTCTACTGTTGGTTTGTTTTTAACAGCTACTTGGGCTCTCATTCTGACGGCACCCATTCACTACAGAGGATCTGGTTCATTGGTGAACAAATGATGCACTGCTAAATTTCTTAAAAATGGACTTACGTACACATGTATTGACCATGTCAGCAAAGAAAAACTTTGTGAACATACTTTCGCAAGGCTAGTTACAGAATCACTCTGATATGGACAGAAGATAGACATGCAAGCACATACGCAGCAGGGCGCAAAAACACATTGACACGCTTGCTCTATAAATAGTCTGCCATTTTACTGGCTCACAACCGTACTGCAAATAACACCGATAAGAGAAAGATGGTTTAGAAATAGAAACAGCAGGTAAAAAGGCACTATGAAAAAAAATCAAATGAGACAGCATATGAGGGTGAGTATGTAGTGGAGTGAGACAGTGAGGAAGAACCATCCATGTTACAGACACTTGCCTACACTTGCCGTCATAGACTCTGTGTAACTGCAGAAACAACAGCTCCGTGAATGAGTGTGTGTGTTCAGCAGATACATGAGTGCTAATGTGTTAACAGAGCTTAAATATTACTGTCCGCTGATCCCACCCACAGATTATCAGCACACTGAGCAAAGAGATGAAAAAACAACAGAGAAGGTTATTATTTACACCTTGATTACCAAGCCAACTAAATGCTGACTTCTATTGTTTGTATAGAAAGTTTAATAATTATATGTTAATTATAATCCTAAAAAAAACAAACATTATTTACTATTTTTATCAATGTTAAAAATAATGATTTACTTCATCATTTAGACCTGTGAGTACCTTATTTGACAAACATTGATTCAAAGAGAAAAGCTGTTGTACAACAGTAATTCAACATCCTGTAATTCAAATTCAGATGTTCACGTGTGCATTTATGACTAATTACTGTAACTATTTAGAGACACTGGACTTCTGGTCAGCTCTAAATAAGGTCCTTACAAGCCACAGGTTAATGCTGCAGTATACATGACCTCTTCTCAGCTATTTGCTTTATGGAAAACTTTATGAAACGATGATGAATAACTGATTTTTCCATTAATGCATTAACTTGAAACACGGACATGGTTAATAAAACCAGTGAGAGTGAGCTGCTGAGATAAACTGAAAGAGAGAAAGCATGCATGCATGTGTTGGAAAGAAAGAGTCAGTGTGTATCCATGTGTTCGGGTGGGATTCAGAGAGAATAGATGTCCTTGGGACACGATCGTCCCTGAGACTTATGAACAAAAATTGAAACTACAACAACATTTGCAATGCAACATCTGTGCAGACTGCAATGTGAACTGACTAAATCAGCATTGTCACCCTAGAGCGTTGCAGGAAATTGTGTGTATGTTAATACACACGTCAATAAATTTAAATAAATATGTGTTAAGGAGCTACACTCTTACAGACGTGTTAATATAAGCTAATTATTACTACAGACTAACCCAAACTGTAACTCTAAAATAAATTATATTATTAATTAATCTATATATATATGGATCACTCTGCTGTGGCAACCCCTGATGAGAAAGGAAGCAAGCCAAAGGTTTTATATATATATATATATATATATATATATATATATATATATATACACACACACACACACACACACATAAAATTAATTGACAATATTAATGATTTTTTTACATCACTTATATAAATGTCTGTCTTTACATAATAAAAATATTAAAAAATAATATATATTATATATATATATATATATATATACACACACACACTCATGCACACATAAAATTAATTGACAATATTAATGATTTTTTTACATCACTTATATAAATGTCTGTCTTTACATAATAAAAATATTAAAAAATAATATATATTACATATTTAACTGTGTATAACTATGTATATAAAATTAATATAACGCAGATTTTATGTTTTTTACTGTATTTACTTTATGACATATATAATTTATAGAATAAAAAAATTAAAATATATAACCTTATCACCAAAACTTTTGTTTCAAACATATCGCTAACAAATTTAAAAGAATATATGCACAAAATCACACCTGCATACAATAACACACACTCTCTGCACAACATGATGGTCACTGACCAGCCCTGTGATCATCTGGACTGACAAATAAATATCCATGTTTCCCGGAACTGGCTCCGATTATCACACAAACACACAGCAACACGACACAGCACAACAGACAACAAAACATGATACACCACCATAAAAGTTTGTGACCTTGGAATTCCTCTGTCAAATCTCTCTGCCTGCAACATGTTTGCATTGAGACTGTAAAGTGGCCTTCTGTACTCTTCAGATGATCACAGTAACACCATCTGACTACAGACTACACACATTTGGATTGTGCAGAGTGTGTGAACTGCACGATTAAACCAAACTAATGTCCAACACGCCACGGTTTATCTTTAGTTTGTGTATAACCACTGAACCACTGGCTGTAAAAAGGAGTGACAGTCTGTTATGTGATCAAATGAAAGAGATCTTACCTGCCTGTGCAGATCACTGGAGCTCTTTTGACTCAGCATAGGTGTGAATCATGCAGCATATCTCTCTGCAAGTTCATGCCTCCCTTAACAAGAAAGAAAGAAAGAAAGAAAGTACTGCATGTCAGATGCACCCAGATCAAAGCGCAGCAACAACAGTGTGGTGTGCAAGAGCCAAGCATGTGATACTGACCCCACACAGATGCATGCTGCCTCTCTCCTCCCTTTGCTTTCTCTGGCCCTCCCCCTTCACTTCCACTCCTCTTTCACTCAGTCCCACCCCTCACTTCCCTTTGCTCTGTCTCTTTTCGCTCCATCAATCAATCATTCTGTATCTTTCTTCCCCCTCCACCTCTCTCTCTCTCTCTCTCTCTCTCTATCACACACACACAGTTCCAGTACATACATTTGACAATAACAAGCAGAAAGTAAAGGCATCCTTGCTGGATTGCCCTTGAGCTAGTCTTGACCAATAATCTTTAGTGAGAAGTAGGCTACTGTATAGTAATGGTATTAGGTTATGATAGCATGGTTATTTGAGAAATATATTTATATATACTATATAAGTACTATACTCATATACCATGGTATTATGTACAAAATTAATAAATGGTTTATCTCAGCTCGCCTGTTTTGTTAGAAGATTTCTAGTTGCCCTGTCAGGTCAGTTCACTAGCTGACTTGCTTTTGTGTGCTTTGAAATAATATTTACAGGAAAACTGAGTGAAGAAATGCAAATAAAGCACACAAATCTTAAATATTATATAATAAATATAAAATATTCTTAAGACATGCAAATAGATTAGTGGACATTAAATATTGATTTCATGATCAATTACAATGTATAAAACTATCGACATAGGAACAAGACCAACACAGTGACAATACTACAGTTATATAAAAGCCAAAGTATGTAACGTTTTCAGTGGAAAAATACTCTTATTGCAGATTAATATGCAGAGACAACAAAAAGCAAGCCATTAAAAGTTTACTTTTCCGAAAACTATCAACATGTCTCTGCTACTATGAAAGTTTCACCAATTGTTTTGAGCTACCACCTGACAACATTTACTTGACCAATGAAGTGGGCTGTGGGCGTGGCTATCTGTTTGTTCGACCAATGGCTGACGGGGCATATTTCTGGCAATTATGTTTATATTTTCAGTCCCCTTCCCCCCAAAATTTAAATTCATTAATTACTCAAACTCATGTCCTTCCAAACCCTTAAGACCCACAAGAACACAAATTAAGATATTTTTGATCAAATCTGAGAGCTTTCTGACCCTGCATAGACAGCAACACAACTGAAATTGTTATTTTTGTTTTCTTTGCGTACAAAAAGTACAAAGTACTTACAAAAAAGTTGAGCCACTGATGTCACATGGACTGTTTTACCGATGTAATTGCTATGTTTTTGAGGGTGTATTCACGCCTGTCTTGTTTGGTTCGATTGAATCGAACTCAAGTTCGTTTCCCCTCTTGGTGCGGACCTTTTTGGCAGGTGTGAATACAGCAATCGCACTCGGGTGCGGACCAAACAACTGTATCAAGACCCAGCTGAAGAGGTGGTCTAGGTCCGCTTCCAAACGAACTCTGGTACGGTTCGTTTAAAGGTGACATATCATAAAAATCTGACTTTTCCAGGTTTTAAGTGCTATAATCAGGTCCCCGGTGCATCTACCAACCAAGGAAACGTGAAAAAGATTAACCCAGTAACTTTGATTTGGTAAGCCTTTTTCTGCAAGCGTCTGAGAAAACGAGCGCGTCTGATTTCGCTCCCTTGGTGATGTAGCAAAGGGATCTCATTACATATACAGTATATTATCGCCCCTTAATTTGTACATTTTCACCCACGGCGCCGTCATTTTGATTTCGCAAGCGACAACGGTGTACCAGTTCTAATGCCATGGCGAAAGTTTGAGCAAAACATATGAACTGTTCTGCCATTAGCCCTATTCGCACAGGATTAGTATGGTGACCTCCAATCATTTGTAATAATTGCAGAGGTTGTCTGTGATCTTAATCCCTTGCGAATCGGCCATGTCTGTAATTTGTAAAGTAAAAATTCCCCCGCAAATGACCAACCAGATTTCACCGAACACAGAGGTCCTGTGATAATTTTAGTCCTGTGCGAATCTGCTTCTCTGTGATTTGGCCAGCACTTGGCGAATCGTATATAATTTTTCGAGGTTTTTGTTTCCTGTGCGCCTTTTTATCCATCTTTCGCGAAGAATGGAGCTGCGTTGGGAGTGTTTGGTAGTATTTTGGGTGCTGTCATATCGCTGCACCACCATACAATTACCCCAGATAATACTAATCCCATGCGAATAGGGCTTTTGTCTGCACTGAGGAGCACAGAGCACTATTTAGATCTAAAATAAACATGCAATTTATTTCCCAGCAGTTTACCTTCACAGACATAACCGACTGTTTTTATAACTCCTGTGTTTTTAACGTAAACTTGTGTGTGAAGAGAACTTAGTTTAGTACTGGCATGCTTTGTGGTGGCCGCTTTCTGTTCGTGTGCTTCGGATGTGTGCTCTCAGAAAACGTATATCAGAAGTTTAAACTCGTATGGTTTAAACCGCATGATTTCAGCACGATAAACATGATAATCTAAACCATGACAGATGTTTTTAGCATGTCCGAGCTGTAATGGCGCAGCTCTAGTCTGGAAAAGGGGGCGGGGAGCAGCAGCTCATTTGCATTTAAAGAGACAGCCCCGAAAAACAGCTGTTTCTGCTTCCACTCAAATTAGGCATTTTCAAAATGATATAATAAATGATCTGTGGAGTATTTTGAGCTGAAACTTCACAGACACATTCTGGGGACACCAGAGACTTATATTACATATTGTAAAAAGGGGCATAATATGTCTCCTTTAAGTTGTGAATATGACCTGACCTCAATCTGACCCAACTGCAGAAATCACGCTCAGAAACAGACAGCTCGCGCATATAGTGCTGTTATTTGCGTTTCAATGACTTAAATCACTTGTTTTTAAACCACAAAGCTTTAAAAACATGCAAATGATGAGACCATGGCGCACAGCAACGTGACGTGAGCGTTCTAAAAAGCTTGTGCAAAAATTACCATGACTATGTTGGGGGAAAATAGTAAGGAGATATTTTTATTATTTATTAATAAACTAGTGTTTTATGAGTCAGTGTCGCAATGACGTTGATGATCCTGACTCGCCATCTCATCATTGGACGCACCTTTAGAAAGAAATGCATCTATACGGATTACATAATAATAAGAGTTTTTGTTTTGGATTTGAATTATTTAGTTTTGTAGTCATTTAAAGCTTTCTATAGATATATTCATCATGTCTGTAAGGAAAATATTTGCTGAGTTTCGGTGCATTTTTGTGAAGCGCTCCTGTTCAAGACCGAGACGGCAAGCGCATCCTATTTGTTTTCTTTATTTTACAAAAGCAGAGCATTTCTTGATATTGTGAGTGCACACAAATAAAAATAGACCATTTACAGTTCCAAATGATGTATTATTCTTACCTTTATGAGCAAAAATGATGGCGTATTTAATTTGTTTCCATTTAAGTCCTGAAGCGCGCTTCAGCTTCCACTCGCCACACTAAGGATTGGATATGCAGCTAATAGCGCACATTTATCTAGGTTAAATGTTTAAACTAACATTGTGATATGCTTTTAGTATTTTTTATCTATAGATTTTATTTTCGGCAAGTCGTAATTACAACATCGTATGACATTGTCTCATATGATGCTCATAAGTTTCTTCATATTGCATTAGTATCTGATAACCGCAAAATCAGTAAAAGAATAAAAATTGCACTACAAAAGATCTCCATGATTAGCCTGTTTTTGCACTTCCTGTTTTTCCCTGCTTGATCATTTCTGTTCAATGAATGGCTGACCTTAGCACACGGGTTTGTTTACAATTTCTGGTTCACTTGCAAAAAAGGGCAGAGTGAAAGCAAACCAAAAAATAAAAAATAAAATCAACATTGTATTTGGTCCGGACCAAAGCAAGTGAACTAGCGAACTTTCCTGTTGTGAATACACCTGAGACTGGGAACATTTCAGTTGTGTTGCTCTCTATGCTGTGTCAGAGAGCTCCTAGATTTCATCAAAAATATCTTAATTTGTGTTCTGAAGATGAACGGTCTTACGGGTTTGGAGCGACATGAGGGTGAGTAATTAATGACAGAATTTTCATTTTTGGGTGAACTAACCCTTTAAGTTTTAAAAGTTCCTTGAATTATTTTTAATACAATCCGCAGTGTGATACAATCCGCGGTATGAAAGTACTGTCGGTTTCACTTACCCGGATGAACGGTCTTCGATACGTTGTCGTGGACTGTGGGAAATATTAAAAAATATCAGCAGAACTGTGGATGACGCGATTTACCAACCTGAATGCAGTATTCCAGAGAGCTGTACAATAATAAGTTTGTGCCATTGGTTTCTCATTGAGAAGCAATTGATGTGAATCATAAATCACCTGACTTCTCGACACAAGATCATGGCTCAAGATAAACAGGTGAGACAAGGTATGATTTCTATGGAACCATTGTGGGAACAGAACAATTTACTGTAACTCTACTTATAAACTATTATTTTCTATTATTTAAGGTGATGTAACGTTGTTCTATGGTGTGTCAGATTCCATCAATTGTATTTAACATGGTTTATTCTTTTCTGTCTGCCACAGACAACCCTTTTTTGGTCACAACCCAGTTAAGAAGCACCGATATTTAATATAGACAACACAGCATAGATAAATGTGTATAAACATCACCATCTCTGATTTATTTCAAGACTTTTAATACATTATATGGATATTCAGAAGATATTTATTCATGTACAAATTACAAATACATAGTTTTAATCAACTCTTCAGTTTAAATATCCGAGAGAGAAAAAATCAGAAAGAGAGTGAAAAAAAAATCCCACGGCTGTTTAATAGCAGCTTTGCAACCTGGCAAGACATTTCGCCATCAAATGCAGTAAAAGATTTCTGTTAAAAAACATCTGAAAAAACACAAAGGCACTTCATTTTTATTATTTTCTATTCAAAGAAACAATTTCTAGAAGAAAGGTGAGGTTAAAGGTCATGCCTGCTCCACAGGGCAGACATCTGCAGTGGACTAATGTCCCAGACACAGAAAATTAGCTAGTGTCTGTCA